TATTGCCCTCTCGTTTCCGCATTCAACGACCAGAACAAAAAAACTTTCACCTACCACTTTATAAAACCCTTCTCATCTCCTTTTCCCAATCACTCTCTGTTCATTGTGTTCCTTCGTTCCTTCCACAAACCAAACCCAGGGAAACACTTTTCCTTTCGGTTTCCTAAGAGAAACAGTGAAAACAAACCATGGCCGGTTCTTCCAAGAGACATTGTTTCTCCGAAGAGGACGGTTGGATTTCTTCCACGGACTATTCTGGGCACAACTACTCCCATCACAGCCAACATGGTTTTGTTTCTAGAACATTGGGTTTTGGCACTTTCTACAACAGAGGTTTCAGGAACCCCTCTATTCTTTCCCCAAGATCTGGGAGATTTTATGATGCCAGATTCGAAGATCACCGACCCCACTTTCTTCAAGCTTGTTTTCTTTGCAAGAAGCCACTCGGGGATCGAGACATCTTCATGTACAGGTTCAATTTACAGAATTCATCTTCTTGCACCAAAGATTAGTAATATACATATTACATTCCTCAATCCGTACCCTTTTTGAGAAATTAGATTTAAATTAGATTCCTTCGGGCTTCCAGTTTTTATTATGATTCTTAATCTAAATCTTTCTTTCTCCATCCCTTTATTTTTTAGATTGTTACATGTTTTTGTTCTCAACAGTCTGTTGTTATGGTTAATTGAGTGATATGCAATTGCAGTGTCATGAATTTATGGGAAATTGAAAATCTTGATATGTATGTCGGTAGGTAACGACTAGGTCTTGAAACGTGTGATGCTGGGATATCTTAATAATTTATATTTTTGTTAAAATTTGTACCCAAGAGGGTTGTTTCTTGTCAGGATCTAACAAAAGTGAAGGTTTTTCCTTTTTTTTCTTCAATGGTGTTGCTTAGGTTTGATTTCGATTTTGTAATTTAATTTTGGTTTCCATTTGAATGTGAATGTTGTTGGATCTCTCTGGCATGGCTCTGACGGGTGGGAATTGTTTGTACTGCAGAGGGGACACGCCTTTTTGCAGCGAAGAGTGTAGACAAGAGCAAATAGAGAGAGACGAAGCGAAGGAGAAGAATAAGAACATTTCTTCTATGAAGGCTTTGAGAAAAAAGGAGCAAAGAAAATCTGTCTCCCCAAACAAGGCCCAGAATTACTCGTTTCGTGCAGGGACGGTTGCTGCCGCTTAGATGAAACTTGTATTGTAATAGAATACAAAGAAAGAAAAGAAAAAAAAAAAACAGTTAAACCGCTTCAGCGTTGTCTAAGAAGAAAGGAAAAGAAAAAACAATGAAGAGAAGGAAAGTAGAAGTGAAGTTTTTCTTTCCATGAAGAAGGGTCAAGAGAGAAGAGATCCTCCTCTGAAAGGTTTTTTTGTTCATGAAGCTGTATATGGTAATACGCATAGAGAAGCTAGTTGCGTGTTGGATCCTCTCTCCCCAATGACTCATTTTTCAGGATTCTTGTTATTTTTTAAAATATCACATATATATAAAAAGGTATTAGTTATATAGTATTTTATGTGATGTGGTGGTTGCAAACAGTTTCGAAGTTTTAACGAAGAAACTTAACTGCTACTACATGTATTTCTTTAACTTGTTACAATGTTTTCACCTTTTTAAGTGAACATTAAATATGAATCCAAGAAGGGAGACTTTTATTTACTGTAGCTGTGGCCGTGGCCTGCGAAGAAATTGGGATAGTGGAAGTTTGAGGTCTGAAACACACTACCATGTTATTCATACTTTACGGAAGAAACAAATAAACTGTTGAAAAAGAAAAAACCCTTCTACGGACCTATCATTTCGTTTAGTTATTAACTAATAATTAGTTTTTACTAATTTTGTCTATGTAACTCTAGTTCATGTTTTTAAAAATCATTGATTTTAAGTTCATTTATTGATATATAGAAAATTTCAAAGTTCTCTCCTTTCCTATTTATTAGTTTTCACAACCCTCCTCCCTCTTCTTTTCCACGAACCTCCTTTTTCTTCTCATTATTTTGTCAGAGAGAGAGAGAGAGAGATGGTTGGTATAATGCGCTATTTTAGCTTTTATTACTGGTGATCCTTGGTGTATATGTCGTATAGTTTTCGCCATTACAAGTATTAATATGGAGGAAAAATTTCATTCTGTAAGATAATTTTTTTTTTCTCTAAAATTAAGTTTGATTTTTAAAAATATGTAAAAAAATTAAATGATGTAAAATATGAAAATTAATAAATGCGAATTAAAAACTAAAATGGAAACGGTATAAAAGCAAACATGTTCGACTTTTTTTTGGTATACAAGTGTGACTTATTTTTTGTAAATTTCTTCTCGCTTAAGTCTCTTAAGACTTTTATTATGGATGACAATACGGCTAGTTTCAATACCTCGCAAGGAAAAATACTAGACAAATTAAGTATTTTAGTCTCACTCGCATAGAAAAATACTAGACAGATTAACTATTTTAGTTCAATACAAGCACCACAAGTTTTATGTTTCTTTCAAGTAACTTATTTACGTTTTTTTTTTATTTCATAAAAATAGCTCATTTATTTGTATTAAGTATAGGATGAAAAAAATACTCATATGAGTTTTCATGGGTAAATATTTATTATTCTGAAGTAATGAATATTTTATTATCTGTTTATAAACGTGTGTTGGGATGCAAGTATCAAATTATCGTTTTATTATTTATAAATATTAAAATTAAAATTTAATTTATATTTTATTAAGTTAAATTTTATTAGTATTAAATTTAATTTATATTTTATTAAGTTAAATTTTATTAATATTAAAATTAATTTATTTTTTGTTAAGTTAAATTTAATTAAAACTAATTTTTAATTTATATTATATTATATTTTTTTGTTGTATTTTTAGTTAGATTTTATTTTAAAAATTATAAAATATTTTTTAAATATTAATGGGTATCCATGGATATCCATGAATATTTTAAAACATGTAGATATTTTTTAAATGAGTATCCAATACGTAACAAGACAAGACAGGTTAATGATTTTTTGTTGTTGTCAATTGGATAGTAGATAAACACTTATTCGTGTTCAATCCGCGTTGCTGCCAATGACGTGCTTGGCCGGTTAGGAGGAGTGGCGTTAATCCTGTTCGGGGTAGAGGCACATGGCTGCCGTAATGAAGAGAGAACCCCAAGCTTTCCCTATTCTTAGATGGGAAAAGAAACTCCGGCTACCATATCGACATTTCTTGCACATCATCCATAATCAGTTCAACATTATCAAATTTTAACGCCGTTAAACGGATAGAACTAAAGTCATGCACTTTTCATAACATAGAGATCTAATGTCTTCATTTTTAAAATCGGTTACTAAACACAAATTCACCTCCTCGAAGTAAGCATTTAAGTCTTAAATCTACTTAAAAGTTATTTCTATTTTTGATAGACTTGAACTTAAAAATTATAAATTATAAAACTACAAATATTTTTTATTTTAAGAAATGAATTTATAGAAATTAGTATTTCTACTCATTTAAACAATTAAAAAAAATTATTAAAATTCTTATATGGCTCACGAACCAATTTTCAAATCTGTATGTCACGTATAAGAAAAGTTAAAATTGGTCAGACCGAATCATATTATCATTCCTAACTTTTACTTATGATTCAACTATTAATGAATTTCAAGAATTTAAAAAAAGAATGACAACTTTTTAAATGTGTATACTTTTTATGATCATTGCTATATTAAATAATGTATTTTTTTATTATATATATATATATATATATATATATATATATAT